AAGGAGTAGCAGGCTTCCACCCTCCCTTACCTCCTCCACCTCCCCCATACCACCCCCCTGCCACACCTAGTCACGCACAGCTCAAGGGTGCGTGGCGACCTCGCGTGCCCTTGCCAACCCCCACCCGTTCCTTCTCCTACCCCTGCAACCGCACCCTGATCCAGCGCCATGCAGCCACCAAGCATGGCAGCTCAGACTACTCCTCTGTGCCCAGGCCTCAGCCCCCTGACTGCACCAACCCACAGGCTATGGGCCGAGCTTTGCTTTCAGACCAGCAAGTGGTGAGTGTGTATATGTGCGTGCCTTTCTGCATGTCCTTGTGCCACATGTTTTTTTTTGTTGAGTCAAATGTTCCTAGCGGCTTATGCTTTGGGATATGAATGTCTTGATTGTCAGGTTCTGTCATCAATGTTTATCTGTTTTCCAATGCAGATGAGCATGGAGCCAGTTATGAGGGAGTTCATGCCTGACATTGCGCTAGGTGTTTCGGTCATGACTCTGAGGGAGCAGCACATGGCAGAAATGGAGAGGGAAGGCCCTCAGAGCCCCATGGGCCCCTCAGGCCACCACCTGCCTCATGGGCCCTGCCCTTCTTCCCGCCTCAGCCATGGCTATGGGCCTGGACATGGCCACTCCTGCAAGAGACACGCTCCTGAGCCCAAACTGGAAGCTCAAGCTGAGTTCCCTGACCTGTATGACTTTTCCTGCCGACCTGCAACCCCAACCTCCACACACCCACTGCCCTCCTTTGCTGGACCAGACCTCTACAGCCACAGCTGCACCGCCTCCAGCTCCTATCCTCCTCCTTATGTTTCTGACTCTCAGTCCCAGGGCCATACACAGGGTCGGACTGCCTCAGACCCACTACGACTGGATGTCCTCAGTATAACCTCTCAGAGGCATGATGGTCTCCTTGCTAGCCCCTCTGGAGCCCAACCTAGGATGGGACATATTTCAAAGGGGCGATCAAATGAGACAGACCTGACTCATGGCTTAGGCCATTTACGGTCCCCCAGTGGGAATATGGACAACTATGAGGAGAGACACCCAGGACCCAGAGAGACCCCAGAAGAGATGGGTCTAGCTGGAGAATCATCAGGCCCAGGGCCACTCCAGCAGCCTCACAGAAACAGTGTCAGTGAAGAGATTGTCAGAGACCGCAGGTCACCTAGCAAACCTGACTACCCCTATAAGAAATCTGCACTTTAACCCCAGTTTAAAGACCAGGGGTTGGGTTAAGAAAAGGGAAAAAGAGATGAGTGGCTGTCCATCATAATGAATAGCAAAGCACTAAATGTTTGCCTGCGTGCGTGTGTGTGTGTGTGTGTGTGTGAGAGAGAGAGAGTTTGAGAGAAGCAGGGAAAAGGGGTGGTCGATGGTTGCTATTTATAGAATCTGTCCTTTTGTCCTACCTCTATCACACTGTGCTATCCATCACGCAGTCAGCATGGTAAGAGCTGTAGGTTAGCTGTCAATGCAAGTCTGCCTAGTCCTGCAGGTTTAGAGGATTTCTTAGGCTCTCCGTGGACAGATTGGTCTCTTGCATTTCTTAAGAAAGAGGTTAGCTCTATGCTGCATGAATTCTGCGTGAGGAAGTCGCAACACTAGATGAAGCTCAGTTATAAAATGATGGTTGAAAACAGATTACATTGGTTGGCTCTTTTGTCTCTTGCACAGAATGGGAAGATCACAGGATAAAGATCTCAGTTTACATAAATGAACAATGGCACACAGTCTGGGATAGAGTATTGTGATAAAATCATATGTAAATATGTCTGGCAGTGTTCTTTCCCCTCCCAGAACTGGTATTTCCATTTCTTCTTTTAACATGGCTATAACTCACCTGACTATTCTTCTCCTCCTGCTCTGGTTCTGCACTAATGTTGAGTTAAAAAAAAGAGAGGCCAAGGTTTGGTCACACAAAGCAGGAATTGGATCCGACTGGAAGTAGGCCATCAGAGCTTGTCAGTCTCAAGTAACCGCGTCTGATTGTGTCAGACGTAACCTATCACAGCCTCACTGTCTAGCTTAAAGGCAGAAGTCTGGTGTTTTCACATGGGGCCGGAGGATCATGGGCAGGTTCATTACTGAGATATAGTGGAAAATATCAGGTTGCCATAACATAAGCCGTTTTCGCACATGCAGCGCTGAATTTATCTAGACATCACGCAACAGAGGTGAAAGTCAACGCAAAAGCCTGACTCAGTCTTATTGGGTATTAGATAATCTGTATGATGTCAGATCCAGGCTGCCTAAACCACAAAGTATTTCAGAAGCAGACTGCTTCCTGCTGTGTGCTACATGTGAGAGAGGACATTTGTGGATGACCTTATTCTACTGAAAATGTCTGTACAGCGATCAGATCAAGCGCTGGGGATTTGTTGGATCTGCAGCTAGGCCAGGTGTGTGTTTGTGTGTGTGAGAGAGCGTGTCTTTGTGCAAGGATAACTTTGATACACCTAGGTGTTAACACAATCTCAGTACTGTACACTCCCATGTTTGGTCGGGTCTTTTTGTACATATCAAGGTCTGAAATGATTAAGCAGTGTTTGGCAGAGAGTGGTCGTCAGCGTGTTAGTTTCCTCCCATTTCAAAATAAGTAATCAAATCTAAAGCCTTAACTAGCGCTTGGAATATTCACTTTTAGCTATCTTTATTCAATCAAGTATGATGTCTCTATAATGCCACCCCCGTTAACTGCTTATTTGACTGTTGTCCACATTAAAGATACACAGACACTGCAGTTTTTCTGGATGGTGGAGGTGGGCTCAACCATGCCCAAATGTTTAAACCATGTCTCCATCTCGCCGGAGATTGTGGATGTGCAGAGCCAGTGTTGATGCTTTTAAATATACTGTTAATGAGCCGCAGCAGCTGTAGCTCCACAACCCTGCAAGTACACAAATAAAAACCTGTAACAGCCGACAGCTGGCATTCGACCTCACATACGAGTATCATTGCACTGTAGGAGCCGTCTGTTTATTAGCTCAAGGGAAAAAGGAACAAATGAATCTCGAACAAAAGGAATCTTATATTGAAGAAAAGTTGGCGATTGCTGGCTCATATCTCCAATGAAAATTGTATATAATGAATTGAGTTCCACATGATGAATTTTTAATGGTTTCTATCACATTTTAGTGGTCGTTGAAGGTCTGTGTTTTTACTGTAGTGGACAACACTGTGTACTTTGTCTCTGTCATGAAAACTCACTAAGAATGTGTGGTATAAACAGAAAGATTGTGTCTCAGAAACTATTTTTGTTCTTAAATGTTATGCATCTAGGGCAGTTTGTTTGATATAGTAGGTGCTGTGGATTGCCATGTTTGTAGAACACTTTTCACCCCCTTTGTCCTTTTACTTTAAAAGTAACAGGAATATGTTGAGCATCTGAAGATATTAGCTCTATGCTTAGCAGTGATAGAGTTGCCAAGCAGAAAAATCATTTTTCCATCTTGGTTGCTTCATGGGGAAAAAATGCAAAACTCCAGATTCCTCCCCATGTTCATGTTGGGTGGTTGTTTTATTTTCCAGGACAATGTTCCATTGAGTAAAAGTCCTTGTTTTGCTCTTTTGCTGTAGAGAAGTCAGTGCCTTCCCCTGCCTGCGGCTGGGCTTTTATTGGAGAAGTGACTTTGATGTCTATGCAAGCTCTTTTCTACCAGCTTACCAGCCTGCATCAAATAATTCTTTGAAATCTCATGTAGCTTGTTTTGTGTACATAGTGTTATTTAGCACCTTTTGAAATTGAACCATCTGAAATGTGTGATTGCTTGTGTTGATTTGTAACAGGTACACTGTGCCTGTATGGTATCATAGAAACCATGTTTGTAGACTGATATTAAGTTGCATTTAGTTTCACGGAATCTATTTTTCTACTGTCACCTCAAAACGGTGCATAACAGTGGTCAACTTGGGCATCCTCAAAATAAACTGGTTTGATATTATGGAATTAATGTGATCTCGCATGGGTTGTTTGTTCACTTGAAATGTCAAGTACATTTTGCTTGTATAGGATCATATATTCAGATTCAAAGGGCTTCACATACATACAGTAAAGAAAATTATCCATACATATCTGGAGCTTATCTCAGCTGTCATGGGCTGAGAGGCAGGGTACACCTTTGACAGGTTGTTCATCCACTGTAGGGCTAACACAGTTTATAACCAACAGGTAACCTAAGGAGCTTGCTTTTGGACTGTAGAGAAAGCCAGACGAATGACACAGAACCCACACATGCGCAGGGAGAACACAAAAAGGCGCCAGCTGACCCAGAACCTTCTCACTGTGTGACAACAGTGCAAACCACTGACATGGTCAAAACAGACAAGCAAACATAATATTTTTTTAAGTTAAAAAAATAGAAGGCTGACATAATATGAAAAGGTGCATCTGCTCTATAACCTACCAAAGTTTAAAAAACAGCATGCTTACAGTGCTTCTGTGTCCATTATCTACTTAAATTACTCTCAGCTATCTTTTTTTTTTAATAAAAACATCATTAGTTTCTTGAAAGGGGGGGGGGGGGTTATGCCTGAAACTTTTTCCATAATTTGCAGGAAATAACCGTCAGAAAGTAGATCTGGTTTTATAATATAAAATAAAAAGCTCCAATGCATGCTCTTGTTCAAGTTTTAGTTTACCTTACAGCAGATTTCTAGTACTTTTATTTTGAGCATTAGTCAGTATTTTCATCACAGTGAGTCTTTCACATGACATTTACAGACCGGTTTGTCTTAGCAGTGCAAGGATTATGGCATCAAATTCAGCCAAACTTACATACTTTCACACAACAATCATGTTCATTCAACATAAGCTCTGTATGTTCACAAATGTAATAGTGTGCAATATTTATGTGAGGTAAACTTTAATCACAATCTTTACAGTTGAGGCATCATCATAACCCAGTTATGACACAAACCTCAAACCTTCAAATAACAAAGTAAAAACTTGAAACTAAATTTTTTTTTTTTTTTTTTTACCCCCAACTTCAAACATCACATTGTTTGCAGCAAAACGGTTTATTCAAGAGGAGGGTGACACATTCAGTCCAGACAGCCCGTGAACATGGCGTACGGTGGCAGCAGAGTGGACACCTTGTTACTGATTTCCGTCGCTGGTTCTGCGTCTTTTTCTGGCCTGCAGCTCCTCAAAGAGTTGATGTACAGCTTCGACTGTGACTGTCTGATGTAGACACAGAAGTGTTAGGTCTGAGATTTGAGCAGAAGAAAGAAGATGTGACTCACATAGACATCCACTTCTCACCTTTCCTTCAGAGGCACACTGCTCTAAAAATTCACTGATTGAGGTCGTCAGCTCGTTGAAACCTGACGGAAGAACACAAGATTAATTAGTCCGCCGCATCAATGCGCCAGTGCTTTGAATTTCACTTTATGCAGGACAACTGACCCCGTGGCTTCCCTCCCTATCCTCACCGTAAATGACCTCCAGCTGCTGTACACGGTCCATCGAGTTCATTAGCGCCATCAGTGGGTGCTGCCCGAAGGGCTCATGCAAGCCTCTCTTCTCATAGGCCAGAATAGTGTCAGACTGATCCAAGAGAAACTGCACCTCAGCAGCAACATAGGCCCTCTGAGGAAATGCAGCACACAGGGGACAAGCATTCAGAAACAGGAATAACTTGCAGCATTCTGGCTTTTGTGAGTCTACATTACAATCTTGGAGCTAGAAATTCTGGCTCACCTTGCAGCTCGTGCAGGTGCAAAGCTCAGCGCGCCAGCTGTAAGGCCAGAACACCGCTCCCCGTCTCAGCCTCTCTAGCCCGCGGGCCTGCAGCTCCTTCAGCTTGCACTCCACAATTTTCGTTGTAGCCATCGCAGGGCTGCCTGTCATCTCCTCGTGAGTTCGTTTGCCAGGGGAACTCCTGTTTACAGCTTCCTATGACACAAATGAGATGGGGTGAGTGACTGTATTATACAAGAAGCGCACAGGCACACCTGGGCTTGGTGAAACATCTCCACTCATGCAGGAATGCAGACGCATCCTGGGGAAGTCTCAATGCGAGTGACGCGGTAAGACGGTTGGGCGATGAAAATCGCCAGTTTACAGTAAGCTAGCCTGTGAAGCCCGGCCAAAGTCATCTACAGAGCAGAGGAAGCTGTGCCTCATGGGTCATTTCTCCTCTAATTACCCCAGAGGAGAGGAAAGCACGATAACAGGAGCTGGTGCCTGCTGTCTGGCTCATATTCTGCTCATTACTCTCCAGCCCCACCTAGTGGCACACTGGCATTCAGAAAAGTTGGACAGTGTTGCTCCAAATGAGGTCACAAAATACACAAAGGTAAAATATACTCCAGAACATAAATAGGAGAGTAACAAAGCAAAGCAAGTGGTAAACACAGCAAGATAGATTATGGATTCCTTTCAACTTAAATTATTTTTTGTTTTGTTTTTTATAATGTAATGTATGCATTATAAGAATAATAAGAATAACACAATTAAAAGAATAAACATGTAAACATAGATCTGAATTCAAATGCCATTGTTTGATTATAATTAAGTCAAATGTAAAGTAATGTTCTGCCCTCATTTTAACTTGCACAAAGCCATTTTTAGTTCTCCACTATCCCAGAATCCATGCAAACAGCAGAACCGTTTCTCACCTCTGGTTCTGTGCGCTCATCACTAGAGGAAGGTTCCTCATCCTTTCTTTGACCAGCCTCACGGTCTTCCCCCTCAATGTCGACCTCTACTTCCTCTTCGGCATCACCCACTTGGATCACAGGCGGAACTAAATGGAAAAGATGAATTAATGATTATCTGAATTTTGCTGCTAAATGTCTGCCTAGTTAGCTACAGTCAAAAAGATTTGTTACCTGCGATGTGGGCAGCATACGTCCACAAGAAAGGAGCCTTGTTCATGCAGGCCTCACATACCATCTCTTGAAGCTCCTCGGGTTCAACCACAGGGCAGCCTAAGTGCTATTTAAAGCCGAAAATAAATAAATAAAAGAGCAGAGGACTTACAGAAATGATAACATGCAGATCAAAAATCCTCTCAAGCTTACCCTGCTGTGAAACCAATCCTCACAGATGACGCACTGAATCATCTCGTCTTCATCCTGTTAAACAGATTTATTTATATATAGCCACAGATGACAGAGCACAAGCAGCAGGGTTTAGGGTGAGAAAAAAAAAAGACGGACCTGGTCATCTGTGTCTGGGTACGGCCGGTGACACGTGCAGTAGAACCCACTGAAGTTGTGATTGTAGCGATTTCTAACATTTTCCTCTTCTTTAACCTAAAAAGAAAGAGGGGGAATGAACAATTGAAACAACTGGAACGTATGGCACACGTGGCAAACACATCTGGGAGACAAGAGATTCAAAGCGTCTCACAGGATTTAGCTGGCAATGGAAGCCCCCAAACTTTCCGTTTCCACAATCACAGCGAAAATTTCTGCAAGAAAAATAGAAATATTAGAAAACTGTGGGCCAAAAGCTGAATGCTTAGTGTACTCAGTCAACATAGAAAGATTTTTACCTTTTGGTATACAGTTCAAAGATGTCGTGTCCATCATGGCATTTATTGGCGCAGGCCAGACAAACCCCAGCAGGCTCTGCATCATTTGGAGTGCAAGTGTTGCAGGCAAACACCGCCTGTCTCTTCACATAACCCTGCAGAGCAACAACACAAGTGGCATCAACACACAGCATCAATTCACAAAATATTATTGATTTGACATCCGTAACAAAGAGAAAATGTGCTTTAACACAACAATACTTCCACCGTGCTTCTCATAGACATCGGTGACGAGAACCACACAGAAACTCAGCGGTCCAGATTGCAACATTTAACACAAAGAAAAACAAAACGCTTACAATGCACAGACTACACTACAATGCAACATTTGGAAAAGGCTACTAGGCGTACAATGGGCGACACACAGGCTGCAGGGCTGCTGTGCAGGAAGCTTCTCCTACCTTGGAGTAAGAGCAGTTGTCTGGGTCGCTCCCAGCCAGCACACACAAAGCCTTCTCGAGCTCTTCTTCGCTGGTAAGAATATCATCAATATCCGAGTCGCCCTTGTTCGCTGCCATTCTGGGAAGTGAGGGTAAAGATGACTCCAACGTAAACAATGAAACACCGAAGACTGAGCAGCAGCTGCGGTAGCGCCACACTGTTGACAAACGACTGTTCCTGGCGGGAGTTTAGGCCGAGACCACGTGGAGGAAGTGACGCAAGATACCTATTCACGACCTGCTATTGTTTAAAAATAAATAAATAAATAAAATTTTAAAAAAAGAATTTTAAAAAATTAAACTCTACTGCACTTTCATTTTCAGTGGTTCCCTTAAAAATCTAGTAGTATTTTATTTATTACTATATATATGTTTTAAAGTACTTTTAAATAAAAATAAACACATTACAACGCAATAAGCAAAATAATAGTAACATATATAGAACAAAAACACCATCCAAACATATTTTACTCATCTTACAAGCGGTAATCTATCTTTAATAATAAAACAGAGCTGATTTAGGAAACATTAGTTCATCCTTTATCAAAAAATTGAACGTTAGCTATTATAAGTGGCCCCTGATAATAAAATAGATTCCGTTTCTGGTCTATTTCCGTTTGGGGGTTTACGAATTAATGGCTGTTGCACAAACAAGTACGACTGATTTTTATCTGTTTATTTTCTTTTTTACATATATATTTTTTTTGTTTGGATCTAGCATCACAAAGGCTTTAAATGGGCATATCAGGAGAAGATGTTTAAGTGTTAATATGTAAATAGACGAATTGCCTTAAATTTTGTCTGTAGACATAGGCAATGGTCATATTTCAATAACAGCTGGCGCATATTTCTCAAAATAGAAACAAGTTGTAAATTGGTGAGTGGTGTGAATTATCCTAAAAAAAGGAAAACAAAAAAACTCTCCACTCCAGTGGAAACAATGGAAATGAACAGTGCTGGTCCCAAAGAAGGAGAGGCGAGGGAGCAAGAAAATAATAGAGCTCTCTGTAAGTTTAAAGAATATAATATACCCTACCCTTTTTTATGGTTTAGCCTGTGGTCTGTCCTCCTTCCAGCCACTTGAGCAGCGTCCGTTGTGTATTTTTAAAATAGTTTAGTTTTTGAAAACCTTGTAGAATTAAGAATTGTATCCAATTAGATTCTGGACAGGGTGGGTGCGTGGATTTAAATGGATTTAATGGATGGGTTTAAAACAAAATAAAATCCAAACCCCTGCATGTGTGGCTATTCAATTAGCTGAACAGTATCTAATTTGGGGTGGCAAACAAATCCAGAGCATCGAAGAAATAACAGAGAAATTGGGACTGGGGGAAATTGTTTGCAGGCGAAATATAGAGTTGAATATAGAGTTCAATCCATAATGAATAACATTTTAAAAATGTGAATAACATAATGAACAACACCTGGCATATAGCAAGTGCAATTAAGCCAAAACATGAGTGTTAATGTGCTACCTTTTTACTAACTGAAAGCCTATAGGAGCTGGATTTTTAACCTTTGGATCACCACGTGCAGGACTTCACAGTACTCCAAGAAAGACTTGATGAAAGCATAAGCAGCAAAAAAAAAATCCCTTTAGGCACAAAGGTTAAATGTTTCTGTCCTCAGTGCTAGATATTGTACCCAGTAGTCATCACAATAAAACTTCACTAAAATCATAAAAGTGTGTGATAATAAAAATAAATTGAAACAGCAGCAGCTGTTTGTTGTGGTTAACACATGCAGAGGTGTTCGAGCACAAACACACGTGCCGTTGTTTCCTTCCTGTCTCTCTCTTGCACTCCCTCTAATGATCTTCATATTCCTTTTCTCATTTTATAACACTGGCTGTGGCATTCCACAAATTCTGATTAATAAGCTTTTGTTGTTGGTTGTCTTTGTGCCACTTGGATGGAAACCCCCAATCGCTGACTTTTAATTAGAGGCCTTTTCAGTTTTTGCGTTTAAGCATGGGGAAAACATGTTGGACGTTTCGATAGTTTTCCAACGGATGGCGCTAGTGTGACATGCTTCTCTTGTCTGTTCCTGGTCAAAAACACGAAGAGACGATGAAAGTGGAGGGACGAAATAAGTATTAACACATCTCGTCATTTATTATTAGAAAGGCAAATCAACAGAACTTGTTCTAATTATTCAAACCATGAATTAACATTTGAGGGATTTGAAATGGGTTAATATGACGATAATATATATATATATATATATATATATAGTTAAGGAACGTCTTTTCGTTAATTATCTTGTTACATTTTATAGATAAATGACTCGATTATTCTATATCATAACAGGAAAGATAATCATTAGTGGAAGCAGGAAGGTGCGTGAAAGCAAGACGCGCTGTGATTCGACAGTCAGTCAGGCAGGGGTGGTGTTTTCCGAGGGGGTCGTGAAGGCGGCATCAGTCTCCTGGATCCTGGGTGTGTGCGGGCAGTCCAGTTCAGAGACTGAGAGAGAAAACACCAGCAACATCTCAACGTGAGCCCAGCGGTGCCTGTCATCTGTCACCGTGCTTGATACTCCTTCTCCAGCGAGCGGACTGAGAATGGGAAACTACGTGAGCTAGTTTCTGAAGAAGACGCAAATTCAAGGGGAACTGTGCTAAAACTGCCAGGTTAGTTAGCTCTCTATAGCCTCCCGATGTCAGCTTTATCTAGTTGAGGGAGTTGCCGTATTTTTTAGGTACCCAGTAGCTGTTTCCACTAACAATTCACTAATTTCTTATGTGCAAGTAGTACGACTGTGTTCAGCCTGTAAAGCTAGGAAGCTAGCTTGCGTTTCCTAATTGCACGCCATCGGTTAGCTCTGGAGATTGTCACTACATAGCTAGCCAGCTAACGTTAGCAGTTGGGGTTAGCAAAAGGGGGTCAGTGTGTGGGATTCGCTGATGCTCAGCCAGATTCACTGTAATATTACGTTTGGAAACTATATCGTGCTAACCACAAGACCGTGAATATCCAAGAGGTAGAAGACGTCACTTATTGCTTTGGAGCAACGTATCAGTAACCGAGCAGTGAACTTAATTATTCCCCAGATTGCTCCCTGGTTGGCTGTTGTGACACTAACGTGTGGGGGGGGTCTGTTCTCGTCTGTCCAGGTTGAGTCATTAGTTGCACCATTTACCTGCAAAAAAAGGACCAGGGGCACAGTGGAAATGCAGACTTTCCTGAAAGGCCGGAGAGTCGGCTACTGGCTCAGCGAGAAGAAGATGAAGAAACTGAATTTCCAGGCCTTTGCTGATCTGTGCAGGTTCGTTAACTAACTCCAGTTTATTGTGTGCAGATGAAATGATTGAAGAACAGCCGTCAAACTACATGCATTCACATAGTTGGCACCTATGGTTAAGAAGTTATGTGACAATTCATGGAAACTTCCCCTTAAGGCTCTGTGACAAGGAGGACTCTTCTCACAGATTTAAGCCCTTAGGCACTTTTCACACAAACGTGCTCACCAAATGTCAGTGAGTGACATCCCTACTCATGCATGCTAAGCATTTAAGGTTGCTGATGTGGCCTGAAGTCATTCTGCTAATCTTCTTTTCTGTTGTATTGTGAAGAAATGGGTTCCCCAAAGGATCAGGCACAAGTCTGTTTTGTGTATGTCCTGGTACAGTGCTTGTTGGTGCATGGTAAATGTGTAACAGGATAAGCTGACAAAACCAGTTTTATTATTAGGTCAGTTGGCTCAGAGCGTTAAACTTTAAAGCAGCTAAATGTGGTCAAAAAGAAAAAGTCTCTTCCTTATTATTAACGTATCTAAAAAATAGCATTTGATGTTAAACTCTGACCACCATATCATTTTTTATCATATGTAGATGGAACAGTCCTAGCTCAGTCTGAGGCTTTTGTCTCTGTTTATCAACAGAAAATAAACCTGTTCTTACCAAATGCATCGTCCTAACATGAATTTAGTCAAGGATGTATCTATTCGCTGGGGTAAGAATTTGCACAGATTCCCCCAGCCTTGACAGACGCATCTATGTGAGTGCTGTGTGCACACTATTTTGTTGTGTCTCTTATCTAGCTGAGTCAAGTGTTACACAAGCTGAAGGGCCTATATTTTCTTAGCAGATGTGAGCTCGTCCTTGCTGTTTTACAATAGGTGCTGTACAGTATATCAGATTGTCAAAGGGCATTAGGGCGAGACAGCCGCTTTATAGTCTCTCATTGCAACAGCTGCCTAGCTGCTGGTGATGCAGCAGTCTGACGTTTTCAGTACAGATACTGAAGTACAGTACTGGGTTTGGGTACCATTCGGATACAAGTGCTAATGGACTTGAGATTTTTCCACTAATATGAGCCCTGACTTAGATGTTGTTTCCCAACTTTATAAACAACAATTTTTAGTAATAAATGAGAAAATACATTTAAAGTGAGGTCAAAAAAAAAAAGAGGGAAAAAAGACAAAACTCTGTGCTTTTATTAGTTTCTGTCTTCTACTCTCAGTTTCATCCTGTAGGTGTCTTTTTCAGTGTGTGCAACTCCCCAGACACTTCAGACAAGAGATAGGTGTCTTAATCAAGCAGACACAATTTGTTACCTTAGAATATTTGCAATAAAAAAATCCGAGCAACTGTTGAATCTCGCATAGCAATATGAAAGGGTGAGAGAGAGAAGCTCTAGCTGGTTCACTGTGCCGTTCTTTGTTTTAGTAGGTATCATACTAGTTTCCAGTATAAGTATTTGGCTCGATGTGACCTTACCTACTTGCACTGTATGAGGGCTAGTTATCAGATAGTAACATGTCTTGAAAATCTGAGAGAGGCTGGACAAAACATTGTTATCTCCAGTCCTGTGATTTTGCACACATGTGCCCCAGTAGATCAGATATGTTGATATGTTCCAGAAGGATTTTCACCTTTTCCAACAGTGTGTTGCCTCATAAAGCAACCTGATTGAGTCAGCACAGATTACCACACTGTAATCCACGAAACATTTTTAATCTCTACATAAAGCTCAGAGCATACCTCCCCTCCTCCCTGCATCCTGCTCACCACCTTCTTCCCTATGAGCTGGATATAGGTTTGTTTGATATGTTTGACACCAAGAGCTCTGGCTCAGCATTAAAAATTGGTCTTTGTGATGCATAGCCTTTGAAAACTGCAACAAATGGCACAGCAGATAACTGCAAATGAGCCACAAAGTGAATGTGGCTTGTATATGTTCACACATGACTACTTCTCCCTGTTAGTCAGGGAAACTTTTCTTCAAGTTCTCCTTTTCCTACTCCAGTCATGTAGCATAGAAAACAAATGTTATGAGGAAAGGAAGGATGGCACTAAGAAGTGCCATCCTTCCTTTATCTGAACTTTATCTTTATCTGGACCTTGTGTTGTGCGTCTGAGTAAGTCTGTTCCAAATTAAGGAGACTTTATGCAATATTAAATTCATTTAATGACCCTTTGTGCTTAATTTTATGAAGTGCAATTTTTACTTGATGGTTTAAATTGATCTGTTTCCCTGCATCATTTATTATTATGAAAGATAAACCATGTGTCAGTGTTACTTTTAAACGGTGACTGGACAGAATTTCCCCTGTCATCATGTGGTAAGCAGCTGACATTGTGTGTGCATAATTGAAGAGTCTGTCCTGTCTCTTGCATCTGGACTTTGGGGTTCCTGCTGGTCAGAGCTAGTTGAGTTTATGTCCGCATGTCAGCTTGCACAGCAGTTGAGAGGCATCTTTTCAGTTGGCACACGTCTGATGCTTTAAAAAGCAGCAACCCTGATTTTCATTAGATTATCTGAAAATAATATTTTCAGATATTCTTCAGTTTCACCACAACTCTAATCTACATTATACTACAATATACTAATAATAACAAATGCAAGGAGTTTACTGAAATTGTTGGAAGACCTGGGATGAGCAGAAAAAGATAAACTAATAATTAATAACATGTATATTTAAAAGGTAAAAGGCATCCAATTCAAGAGCAAGAAGAGAAGAGAGGAAGGGCCTCTAGTCTAAAAGTCTGTGCCAAATCAAATATGGGAACCCATCTGCTGTGGTGATCCCATGTGAGTAAGGGAGTAGTCGAAAGAAGCTTTGTATTTTTTGACTATTAAAAAAATCAGCTGC